TCTTATACATCTGGTTGCATCCTGATAGACTGGAAGCTCCAAGAGACTGGGTTATGTCCGTGCATTTTAAAGTGACATCTCCTGGGTCTAGTACAGTGCCTGGTGAATCATGCTCACCAATTCCATATGTATTCCCTGAGTATGTAAATGAAGGATCTCCCAAACAGAACTGGTTTTCTACTCCTCATAAGCCCAGTTCATAACACTTTACACAACCAGGTAATGATTTGTTTGGGAATCTGTTTCCCCAATGGGCAGAGCCTTCTTGGACCCCTGACACTCAGTCCAGCACCCGATCCATCCAACGTGCCCATTGAGGGACTGGAATGAACAAGAACACTCAGAGTAAGTTCTGCGTTGAGTCTTTGGGTTCACAGACCTTCCTCTCTGGGCCTCATTTTACTCCTCTCTGCCTTGAAGGATCCTGCGAGAATTTCCAAGGTCCTTTCTCCGGATGGGAAGTCCCCATTTACCATGCGCTTGCTGCCCTCTGCTGGCAGGATTTGCTCAGGACCGCTCTGTCCCTGCTGTGTTCCTGAAAGCTGCAAGCAAAGCCAGCCACGGCTGGGTGGACCAGCCAGTAATGACTGAGTTTTGTTTTCTCACTGGTTCGACTAACACGTAAGGTGTGTGCATCTCTCCACCTCATTTGCCTACTCCGCCAATGTGGAGAAGTGCTAGGGTAGTTCTCAGACAGACAGACTGATGCCCCTGACTGCACATTAGAACAGGGGGCTATAACTGGTACCCAGGCCCCACCTCAGACCAGCACTGGGGAGTAGGGCCCAAGCAGCCATCTACATTAAAGATATATAAAAATCTGGCTGCTTCTAACATGGAGCCACATGTAGAACTGCTGAACCAAGAAGATCTTTACATGCGTATCTTTTTTAGTGATGGAGTTTCACTCTTGTTGCCCATACTGGAGTGCAGTGGCATGATCTCAGCTCACTGCAGCCTCCACCTCTGAGGTTCAAGTGATTCTCCTGCCTCAGCCTCCAGAGTAGCTGGGACTATAGGCACCCACCACTATGCCCGGCTAATTTTTTGTATTTTTAGTACAGATGGAGTTTCACCATGTTGGCCAGGCTGGTCTCAAACTCCTGGCCTCAGGTGATCCACCCACATCGGCCTCCCAAAGTGCTGGGATTACAGGCGTGAGCCACTATGCCCAGCCTACAGGTGTATCTTGATCTAAAAGCTAGAAGCACTGGAAAAAAAAAAAAGCTCATCTAGGGAAAGAGTAAATAATGACTTTGATTTTCTAACACAAAATTCCCTTAGCCTATCTCAAAAAGTTTTCTTTCTTTGACAAACCCTAAAAGCTTACGAGCCATACAGTTTTCTTTGGGGGACCAAGACCGTTTACCCATTAGGGGTGCTGCTCCCAGATCCAGTTTCTCTTTTGGAGCTATAGTTCTCTGTTTTGGTGTACTACAGCTCTGTTTCTTATTTGATATATGTATATTCCTGCATGTGTTAAGATTCATTTGGTTGCATATAATGGGATTCAGAACATCGATAACTTTAGCCACAAGGGGGAACTTGTTGGAAGGTACCAAGATGCCACCCACAGGGTTCCCTGCCAGGAGCAGATGGCAAACAGGAACTGCAACCCAATGGGGCACCAGGAAATGGTCTCTCTGTCCTTTGCCTCGGCTTTGTTGCATACATCTGATTCGTTTCTTCTCTCTTGAGGCCACCTGGTGTTTGCTGCTCATTAATCCACAAGGCGGAATGTGGCTGACAATGGCTCTCCACTTGTCTGTGTTGACTGCCGCCTGCTGGCGAAAAACTTCTTTTTCTTTGCCCCAGATCCAAATTTCCAGACTGGTCCCTTGGGCCAGTCAATCTTGGCGTGTGGGGCTGGCAACAGGATCTGTGAGGCCGGATGAGAAATGAAAGTGTGGTAGCCTTTATTCCCAAAGCGGGGGAAGTGCCCGTCATGATACTCAGCAAGCTTCTTCTTCTGTAGCCTCTTTTTTGACTTGTCATGGTGTTTTTATTTTCTATTTACTGTCTAAGTAAAGAAAACTCCAAATTTTAAATTATTAGCAAGCATTTTACCATTCGTCTTTATATCAAGCAATGCCAGACTTAAATGTAAATTTCAGCGCTTTAACTCATGTGCAGAGTCACTGAAATTACACAATTGGTGTTTTGTGACTTGTTGGCCATAAGAGACAAACACAAACCAAGCTCATGAAGATTGGAAGCAGGAAGATAAGGTGCCTCCAGGTTCACCCAAGGAGGGACGCTCTTTCGGGCCTGGACATACTAGATGGGCTAAGGGAGTCCAGACCCTACCAAGCTTCCAAGGGCCCTGTCAGCCACCAGACACATGACTGAGACCCAGCCAGGGAGGCAGAGTCTAGGGAAGTTTGTCCCGGTGTCTCCCCTTCCCACAGCAGTCCCCAGACAGCCACAGCAGACTAACCTCCAAGGACCTCTAAACCTCTGAGCTATGACACACTCAATGCCTGGGCCAGGAGTGGGCAGAGGCTTACCCCCAACAAGACGCAACCTCTGGCCAGCCCCATCACATACACTGTGTGCTGCCAGCCTAGGGCAAGGACGGCCACCACCTTGCCCACCCAAGATGCTACAGGGTGCATGCACCCTATCCTGGCCCTCTCTGTGCCTGTAGCCAGGACCCTGTGAAGTGTGGACAGCAACATCAGGGCAGAAAGGGGGAAGCCAGGCAGAGAGCACACGCGGCTGAGAGCTGGTCATGGGAGGCAGCCACTGCAGTGGTGGGGGCAAGGGGAGTGCGTGAGCCAGGCTTCCAAAGCACAGATTCAAAGATAAAGTTATGTCCGGATATGGTGGCTCACGCCTGCAACCCCAGCACTTTGGGAGGCCAAGGCAGGCAGATCACCTGAGGTTGGGAGTTCGAGACCAGCCTGGCCAACGTGGAGAAACCCCGTCTCTACTAAAAATACAAAAAATTAGCGAGGCATGGTGGTGCGTGCCTGTAATCCCAGCTACTTGGGAGGCAGGAGAATTGCTTAAACCCAGGAGGCAGAGGTTCGGGTGAAGCAAGATCATGCCATTGCACACCAGCCTGGGCAGCAGGAGTGAAACTCCATCTTTAAAAAAAAAAAAAGAAGATAAAGTTATGTCTGGGTGTGGTGGCCCACGCCTGTAACCCCAGCACTTTGGGAGGCCGAGGCAGGCTGGAGTTTGAGACCAGCCTGGCCAACATGGTGAAACTCCATCTCTACTAAAACTACAAAAGTTTGCCAGGTATGGTGGCAGATGCCTGTAATCCCAGCTACTCAGGAGGCTGAGGCAGGAGAATCGGTTGAACCTGGGAGGTGGAGGTTGCAGTGAGCCGAGAACACACCACTGCACTTAAGCCTGGGTTACAGAACAAAACTCTGACTGAAAAAAAAAAATAGATAAGTTATAAAGACTCTCAGACAACAAGCACAGAGCATTAACCCCCATGCACAAGGTCCTTTTCACAGGTCACTTGCTCAACCAGCTGCCCCAGTGGCCTGTGATGGGAGTGGGAAGTGTGGGGTTGAGTGATAACCTTCTAGAGGAACAGTTTCCCAGAACGCAGATGGGAGGGCTTTGGGAAAACCAGCCAGACCTTGTTATTTTTATGACAAAGTCAGAATACCACCCTGGCCCTCTAAACTACATATAATTTCTGCAACTTGATTTACAGGCGTCGTTAAACAGCTGCATGTTACTGAATGGCCACGCCGTAATAGATTAGCTAAGATACTGGCTATGGACCTCAAGAATCCACGTGTCCTGGCCCTTGCCCTTCTGCCCCCTCTGAACTGCCGTGCAGTTCTAATAAGTTCCCAGGTGGCGCTGCTTCAGCTGCTGACCTCCGCCCACCCCGGGAGCTCACTTTGAGAACTGGCTGAGGTTCCAGGCAGGGGGGCCAGTGGCTGCTCCAGGGTTGTCAAGGGCTCCCCCTGCAGATGGAGGAACTAGGCCTCCCAGCACTCATTCCTGGAAAGTTGGTGGCTTCAGAATGGACTTTCCCTGGAGGCCGGCCTCCTGCTGCTCTGGGAAAAAGAGGAAAAGGAAGAAAGCAATCCCCCACGTTGGGGACTCCTTCTGGATTAGCATTGTCTTAGGTGAAGAAAGTGAGGCATCACCTACCAACCAGATAACTCATTCCACCTGTGCGGGGAGAGCCACAGAACAGCAATAAGCTTCCTTCACCCTGGCGTGCCCACACCCTGCCCAAGAGCTCATGGGCACGTGTTCATCTGCAGGCCAAGGAGGGAGAGCCAGGGAGTGACAGAGCGTCACTCCAGGAGAGTCGCCCAGGGGGTGTTAGGATCCCCCCACATCTGCACCCCTGAAATCGACTATTTTCCAGCTCTTCCTAAGCTGACTTGTGCAGATGGAATCTCATTCCAACTTGAATTTTTATCATGGTAATTCATATTTCTTCTGTTTTGCCTGTTCGTATCCTTTGACCATTTTTCTAGCTAGTTGTCTTTTCCTACTGATTGGTAGTAGCTCTTTGGTTTTATGTTACTGTTAATCCTTTATAGATGTTGCAAATTTTTTATTTGCTATTTCACTATTTGCCTTTTAGCTTCATGATCTGGCAATGACTACCCATGTGACAGGCTCCTTGAGCCTCTGTTTTCTCATGTAAGCGATGGGAAGCAGCTGCCACCCTGGCTTGATGGACGAGTAAATGAGCTTCTGCTGCACTTGCTCGGCCACATCAGCTTCCCGTAAATGCTGGCAGCTGTGGCAGCCGCGGCAGTGTATAACCAAACTTCTCTGTATTACCCTCAGAGACCCCTGAGCCCCAGGCCGACACCGTGAGATGTAAGCACAACAGAACACGCTGAGGGCCGATCAGATGCAATTTGGGTCGTATCGACTTTCCATTTTGTGGCGTTTCTGCTTAAATATTTGCCAGAGTTGGAAACGAGATTGAAATTTAAGGAAAAGACAAAATGCTGTGAGAGTCGGGCTAACCGGAACTTCTCCCTTCGTCACGACTCCTCCATTAGGCGGCCCCTGAGTTCTGCAGCCTCGAGGAAGGCCTGCCCTATCTGGACATGGTGATTGCAGAGACGCTGAGGATGTACCCACCAGCTTTCAGGTATGCTGCAGCCCCTCCCTCACCCCAGCCTCCACTCCCTACCCCTTCCCCCTCCCCTACCCCGCAGGTCAGGGCCCTCCTCCATCAGTTACCACATGTGTTTCTGGGAGGCAACGCCTGAGTCCTGGGTTCCTTTGTATCCCCAAGGGCACCTCAGATATCTGGCCTGCTTTCCTTTAGGTTAACAACCTTCTCAAAGCGTCGCTGGCCTTTTCTTAACAAGGCCTTTCTCCCCAACCCAAGCCAGCCCTTTGGTCTCCTAGCCTTTGCTGGCTTTTGCCATTTCCCCTGCCTGTTCATTCATTCATTCATTCAGCAATTGTTTATCGAGCATCTACTCTGTGCCAAGCACTGAGAAATCAGCTGTGTATAAAATAGATAAAAGTCCCTGACCAATCTTGGAGCTGGCATTCCAGTAGGGGACTGTCTGAGGCTTGGGAGCTCCTTCCTGCCATCCAACACCCCAGCTGTCCCATCCTGGAGCTTCAACACAACTCACCCCTGCAAAAAGCCTCACCCCACAAGACGTCTGCATCAGGCTTGCCTCACCTGGTCCTCCCTACCTTTCCTCCCCAGAGCTTTGAGCTGTCACTATGTTCCATGCTATATTCTTGGATGCATGCCTGCCTGCCACTCCATGACGTTTCATTAATGTACGCGTCAACCAGCCGGTCGCACCAACCTGTGGGTACCTTGAGAGTAGAACCAAGTATTGTGCTTCTTTCAAACTCTCCCAAACAAGGCACTCCATAGAGAGGGTATCTTAGTTCCTGTCCCCAGATCCTTAGAGAGCGAAATACCAGCCAGGTTTCAGGTTCTCAAAACAGCAGCAGCACAAAGCACTAACCCTATGTGTTAAATTCCACTCAACACTTTTGTGAATTAATAGATCACACAAACCATACGGAGATACCTTTCACCATTTTTTAAGAGAATATGTAGATGATTTGAGGGTATCTCAAAATGGTATTTCAAAACAAAAGCATTACAAAGAATGCAGTTGTGGATATTGTCCAAATGTTCAAGTCCAGAAGCAAATATAGAAACTTCCAGTGGTGTGGTTCGTCCTCCAGCACGCAGGTTTCGGATCTCGCTGTGGACGCAGGCCAGTCACTCAGAGGCTCTTGGCACCCTCTCCCAATGCCAGCATTACGAACTGATGTGCAGCCCTTCCCTGATCTTCTTGGGAGCCTCACACAAACTGTCATCCAATCTTTTTTCTTTTTTTTTTTTGAGACAGAGTCTTGCTTTGTTACCTAGGCGGGAGTGCAACGGCACAACCTCGGCTCACTGAAACTTCCATCTCCTGGGCTCAAGTGATTCTCCTGTCTCAGCCTCCCAAGTAGCTGAGATTACAGGTGCCTGCCACCATGCCCAGCTAATTTTTTGTATTTTTAGTATATTTTTAGACGGTTTCACCATGTTGGCCAGGCTGGTCTCGAACTTCTGACCTCAGATGATCTGCCCTCGTTGGCCTCCCAAAGTGCTGGGATCACAGGCATGAGCCACCACTCCCCGCCTTATTTTTTTCATGATTGATATCCAGCTTTCTTCCAAGGGGATTGTGGGCAGCTGATATACATGTTAAAATGAAGTTCAAGATAGAGCATTCAGTGATCAAACTGAACAAAGGCCATTTAAAGGAAAGAAGACTTTACAGGGCCCCAGAGGTGGCTGATAGCTGGGGTCCAGCCTTGGCTTGGTGTCCAGGGCTCCTGGCCAAGAGGGAAAGCAGCCAAGCTGAACAGGTGTGTTCTCCAGCAAGAGGACAGCAAGAGGACTTCCTGGACCTAAACTCAGTCAAGAATCCATCACACAAGACCTTGTATAGATATCATGTTGACTAACAAAGTGTTTAGGCTCTTCAACATGGAAACACGGTGGCCAACTCTCCACTGACCCATCATGAACAGCAGAGCAGGCGGACCAGGAAGCCAGTGATCTCATTTGAGGACCAGACAGAAACTAGAGAACCTGGATGAAGTGGTTAGAATTCACCAAACGGGTCTGAAGGGCGTATGGAAGGCGGTCTCGGCCCGGGCCATGGTTTACTGTGTGGTCGTGGGTGAGCCCCATGCTGCTCCTTCCTAGAGGTTAAGTGGGGACACATGCCTGCTTGGCTGGCCCCGCAGAAGTGGGTGAGAGGTAGTGAGTGGTGTAGGTGGAACTGCAGTGCCCACTCAGCTGCGTGCAGTGTGAGGTGTGTGGGGAGGAGCAGGGGCCCCGGTCAGACAGTGGAATGGCCAGCTTCCATCCAGCAGTGCTCACCTGAGCCACCCCTGCCCCACACCTCCACCCCGCCCCACACCAGCACATCTCCACACCCGCCCTACACCTCCACACACGCCCCACACCCGCCCTACACCTCCACACCCGCCCCACACATGCCCTACACCTCCACATCCGCCCTAAACCTCCACACCTGCCACACACCTGCCCCACACCTCCACACCCGCCCCACACCCCACACCTCC